ATAAGATTGTCATGTAAGAATAGCTACATTTTATGAATGTTATTTTACAACAGTAAGATTTGGAAAATGACTTCAAGATTTATACATACACTATAGACTTTTAAGAATATCCGTCTAAGGAGAATCCTGTGAATGTTTTGGCTAAACAAAACCACAAATAAAGAACTGAGAAAGAAAGCACAATGTTCATCACCAGCAAATGTTATCAAAGGAATAAAATGGAGATGACTTGGACATGTTTGCAGAATGCCTCATGATACTTTGGCAAGAACAGCTTTCAGGTGGATGGCAAATGGTGGTTGGGGGAGGGTGGGGGGATGCGGATGACAAAGTGAAACCTGAAGGACAAGAGAAGGGGAATGAAAGAATGTTGAATAAGATGAGATACAACAGGCAGAAAAGCATCAGACCAACAACACCTGAGATCACTTGTGAATGCCTTATATGTCAACAGTGACATTAGGAGAATACAGCTCTTGTTAGAACAGCGGTTCTCAACCTGTGGGTCGTGATGCTTTTTGAGGTCGAACGACTCTTTTTCAGGGGTTGCCTACGACCATCAGAAAACGCATATTCACAACACGAGGAACTGTATTAAAGGGTCACTGCTTTAGGAAGGTTGAGAATCACTGTGTTCGACTGTAGCAAACTCAGGTACCAACACAGGCATTACACCCAAGAAACCATTAAGTGTGAATTACCTATGACGATTTAAAACATGTTGTATTTAGATAGGCCCAGAGACATGTCAATGGGCAGGCAATTTATTGCTAGAACTAAATTACACAGAAAAGGGTAAGGAATGCTCATGCCATTTTTTTTTAAATAAATTTTTCCTAAAGATAAAATCTACGAGGATAATCAACTATTATACTAAGGGCTTAGTAACCTGCTTACCTGAAATCCACTATTTTAAAAATACAATGTTAGTAAGTTTATCTAAATATTTATAGTACAATTTATATCTTAACCACAACCCAGAAAAATATAGGCCTGAACAAAGCAATTTTTGAAACAATACTACAAATTACATAACTGTCGTAAATAAATAATTACATGGCATAAAAAATGAACACATACACACAAATAAATAAATAAAAAAATACTTTGAGAACTCATTGAACACTTTATATCCAAATTGTAACCCTGAGAATTTAACAGGACATTGCATGAAAATTACTATACTCCTTAAGAAAATATGAAAAGGGAGCAAGAGGGTGACCAAAAAGAAATTAGAATGACAGCATTTAAGACACGTAATGGCAATAATAGCCACTAACATTCACTGAGTGCTGGACGACTATCTATTTCTCCCTTGAGCACATGCAGTAATAATATATCTTACGACACAATAATGGTATACCAGACACTTTAAATATCCAAAACGATAGAATACACAATATAATTATTGTTTGAAAGTACACTTAAAATATTTTGAAATTTACAATGTATACTGCTACAATCTCATAGAGGCACTGATTTTGTGTGCGTGCGTGCGTGAGTGCGTGCGTATGTGTGTGTGTGTGTGTATATATATATATATATATATATATATATATATATATATATATATATATATGTGTGTGTGTGTGTGTGTGTGTGTGTGTGTGTGTGTGTGTTCTTTAGATCGTCTGATCCACGTTTAGCAAAGGTTATTAAGGAAAAATGACAACATGCTTAGAAATTTCCTCACTAATCCCTTCTTTCATTGCTCTGAAAAACAAGCATATCGTATCAAGTTGACTAATTAAAGGTCGTCTTCTCCTTCTCTTTCTTCTTCTTCTTCTTCTTCTTCTTCTTCTTCTTCTTCTTCTTCTTCTTCTTCTTCTTCTTCTTCTTCTTCTTCTTCTTCTTCTTCTTCTTCTTCTTCTTTTTCTTCTTCTTCTACTTCTTTTGCTGCTACTGCTTCTACTGTTGCTTCACCCTTACAAGGATGGTTGGCATGTTGAGGCTTATAGCTAGGTTGTGTTAGGCCTGACACTTCAATTCAGCAAACCATTGGTCATCTTTTTCAACATACTTGTTAAGGAGAAGAGGATCTTTTATTTCTCCCCTTTCCTTGTTGTAAACTACAACACACTGTATCAGCCGCCTTTTCACGGGGCGAGAAGAGTTGTGTGTACTGCTTAAAAAAAATCGATTTACCAACATGACTAACTCATTTCATGTTGTTATCTACTGCCTGTGTTGTTATTATGGATACTCCCAACTAACCACTACAATCAAGATGGATAGCTTTCTCTGGTCGTGTAGGCATGTTAGGGAAAGAACAGGCGGATAGACTGGCTGGACTGGCCTCACTTGGCAGATTACAACAACTGCTCAAGGCAGAGGTGATCTCTGGCCTATGGAAGGAGGTAACAAGTAAAATGAAAGATACTGAAAACACATACCTGCATGGAATGATGCAGCAGGAAGTGCCTGCGGGCTCTGGATACCATTCGAGACGTGGGGGTGGCGGCGAAGAAGAGGCAAGACAGACGAGTAGTTAACCATCAGTATGAAGACTCTTTGCTGGATGTTGAGAAGGGAGAGAGCTAATAAGGCTTTTCTTTAGAGAGCGTGGGACACCATGCATAATATGGAAAGATAACATCAGAGAATTCTTACATCAGTATGTCCTGTCTATGGTCAAGGCGGCCAGATGAGCAAGAAGCTTCCTGTATGGGTTCCGGGGCCTCATTTTGGGTGAATGGGTTAGCCGCCGTGGTCTAGCGGCTAGACGCTCGCCTGCGCATCTGAAGATCGTGGGTTCGGTTCCAGATGGGGGGCCAGACTTGTTTTCAAAAATGAATTTGGCTCCCATGTCGACCCAACCAGGTACAGTCCTGGGAAGTAAAGGCGGCCGGCGTGATGCTGACTACATCACCCACGAAATATAGCCCTATATACTCAAGACTCCTGAAAGGCGTGTAACAGGGTCCTTTACTTTTACTTTACATTCAGGAGGAATATAGAATGGACCCACTACTCCTTAACAAGCATATAGTAAAAGATTACTAATTATGAATTTTTCATTTGAAGTAGGATTGTATCCGCCAGAGATTTGAGACACCAACAGTTTGCATACAAATAACCCAGATCTATAAAAACACATGTGCCCGCACAACTTAAGTTCTGGAAGAAGACCAAAGTCCAGAAGTGGATGAATAACCACAAATTTCCACCGCAGTCTACAACCGGTGAACGCGAGGAGGGAAGCAAGGAAGCAAGCAAGAAGCAGGACCTTATATCTTTCTTGACTGCCCGGTTGATTAAACCTAACTGCGCGGGGATCAGGTGACGAACTCCTGGTGGTCCTGGGTTCACGCCCAGGGGTAGGCAGAAAAAACACATTTCACTCCCAGATTTACGGTATCTATCATAGAATAAATGGTTGCGATATCCATAGTACCAAGCCAAAGGGTTAACAACTCATGGTTTCTAGAAAATAACTTCCTCGACATTGGGAGTGGTAAAAGAGAAAGCAAAGAAGAACCACTATAACTACAGAACATCCAGCTATCCAGCACGCTAGAGCCTTATAAAGTAAAATGCACATAATTAAAATCATTTAATCTTCTGCCTTTCGTCCCTTGGGAGTCGCCGTGGCAGAGCGGCTAGACGCTCGCCGCGGATCAGAAGTTGGCGGAGCCGGACTTTTCAAATGACCTTAGCTTCCAGGTCGACCCAGCCTTGAGTGGGTACCGGGTGCAGTCCCGGAAATTAAAGGCGGCCGGCGTGATGCTGACCACATCACCCATCTTGTGCCGATTGGTCTATAAAATATAGGTCTAGCCCTATATGCCCTATACGCCTAAAGGCGTGGAAAAGGGTCCTTTACTTTACTTTCTTAGCCAACGCCAGCCAAGTCATTTGTAATCTTGTTTGTGGTTTGTTCGTTTACGCTCCAAATTAGGTATGATAAACTGAGGGTCCATTATGAGTCACATTGTGTCGTCATGGGGTCACATACGACAACCAATTGGAGTCATGTAATAACAATTATTGCAGGACATTTCATTAACGCCGGCCGCAGGTGTGCTTGCAAAGAGCCTCATGCGGTGCGTGGGCCGCCAGTTTGATGTGATTGCTCTAAACAGTTTTGTACTGGATAAGATAGCCAGTCTCAGCCCACCCCTAATTATTAGCCTCTTACGACTGGCATCGTAGGGTAAATGTTACCATCCCCATGGGGTTCCTGGCCCCATATAGGGAAAACAAGAATAGACCCACTGCCTTCCCACCAAGCATGAGGCAGGAGTCGACTAGCCGGGGACTTCCTACAAAGTCAGAGGCATCTGCCCGAGAGGCAAGGAACAGCCAACTGCACACAAATAACTCAGTAAAACGAATGTACACGCAAAGCTCAGGCCCTGACACAAAGCTGAAGCCAATGGACGAACAAGCAAGACTTTCCGCCGGAGCTTACAGCCGGTGAAAAAAGAAAAAGAAGATGAAGAAGAAGAAGAAGACGAAGAAGAAGATGATGATGAAAGCAATGTTACCATTCCTTACTGCTTTTGTGGGTCCTATGTGGGCGCGTTAAAAGATAGGGTGGAAGGGGGACGGTCGGTCACTTTCCCATGCCATATAGTTTTCTGGGCAAAATTAGCAGTGACTGAAGGGTCTTATACAAAGAGAAATTATACCAAGTGCTTTGACACAGAGTAACCGTTGGGATGGAAAACTCTACAATCAAGGTACCTAAACCCCTAGGTTCCAGCACCTCAATTACACGAAGAGACAAGATTTTTTTAAATATGTTATGAGAAAAAATCAACTTGACAATTTTGTGACGACTTGCAAACGATTCACAACGAGTGAGGGAAAGATAGATTTCTTGGCCACGAGATAAGAACATAGAACAATAAGACTGACGTGAACCAAGTCTGGCAATTGAGTAGTCGACCAACTATGACTACCTACGCTGGCCGGCAAGGCACACGCTGATGATGACGTCCTTATTGACTGCCCTTCAACTACTGTGCGTGAGGTCAAAGGGTTAGAACTTTTGCAATATGGCTGCGCCCAGTGAACAACAGTACTTACCGTGCGATGACTTTATGAAATTTCAGGTTAATTAATTTCCACATCACATATACTTTTTACATATTCAGTAGTTTTAGACAAAAATACACACTCTGTGCATTTAATAACGTTTTATCTTCTATATGATATTTGCAATTAATAAAAAGAATCGGATGATCAATTATCGATAGATGATGGCTAAGTGACTAAGTCTAGGTACTTTAGTCAAATTTTTAAAATGCCCTCTACACCAATAAAACCAGCACAGTTAGATAGCTGTAAACAATCTCTTTCCAACGGTACCTCATTTAGGCTTGTATGTCATTTCTGAGCTGAGATATGTAGGTTTTTGTGGAGATGAGATGTAGAAAGCAGCTGCTAAAACTTGCCTCCCAGAAACGAGGTTTTCTCTGCGCAACCAAACTGTGCAACTTTCGTTTTGGCTTTGTTTACATTGGACTGTCGTTGGACAAGATGGCAGCCAATGAGACACAGCCACTGGCTGAGCCAGCGATTGCCTGAAAAATGTCACTGTACATCTACCTAGCCACGGTTCAGAAAGAAATTTTATACACAAATGTAAAAATGACGGAGAATTCAATTATAACTAGCATTACCAGGGCCAGTAACAGTTAAAGCCTAAAGCCAACCTTGAATACTTAGCGCTATTTTCAATCAAACTGATGTAACAGAAAAATAGAGGACATCCGGCTGTCGTAGACATGCGCTGTTAATCGGGTTCCTTCCCGCTGTTTTCAGCTATTTAGAGTGGGTGAAAATCACACCAATCGCAAAATTTCATGAGAGATTAGGACCCATCCCGAAACCCCAGCCGACATTTCCGAAGCAAGTTTCGAACGGTTTCCGTGGTAACGGAAATTGCCAAAAGATTGCAAATTTTCGGACACCATAGTCGCTAGACTAAGTCAGTTTCACTTAGTTGCCCTGGCCGTTACAGCATATCTTGGATTCAAATATAGTCTCCTAACTCATCTGCGAGTTCTGTCTTTACATGGCCATCCTTTAAAATGATCAGATCAGTCAAACATGTTGCAAAGTTATTAGTGTGACTACACATTAAGTTATTTTATGGTTCCTACTTTCTAAACTTGTAAGAATGTTTACTTCAAGAACTTAGAAGAAGAAATGAGGAAACTTACCTGCAGAAATTAAAATAAACGAATTAACTGACCTTCGTCTTCTATCTGTTGGTCTAGTGTCTACTTGCTAATATTCTGTTCATATCATGTTCACCGCAAGCTGCTGCTTTTGTGTCTTGCAGTGTAGGTAGGAAATACAAACAGGGAAAGAGTGCCATTTTGTGTGCTTCGTTTATGGTAGTTTCTGTGGACCCTTACTGTAAGATTATATTACATATTAATTTCATTGTTGCTTTTCTCTCTCCATTCTCTGCTGTCACCTTTGATGGGTCCAGAGATTCATCGTAAGACTAAAAAGAAAGATACTAACATTCATTATTTTCAGGAAGATCTGAACATCGAAGAAGACTTGCTTATAAACTACATTATGCTTTGGTCAATGCTACAATTTTCAACTGCAAAGAGCTTATTAGAATATTATCTGAATATGATTCAGCACAGTAGGTAGAGATTTATATCAGACCACAGGTTTGAGGTGTTTCATTGTCAGCAGATTCCAGATTACTGACCAGTGGAGTGTAAGTAACAGGCTTTTTTCTAGAATAAAAGAGGCCAGTACTTACCCCACTGTATCTAAAAAGGTGAAACTACTCAACACAAAGTGTTTATTACAGTAGCACTTGAAAAAAAAAAGCCAATAAAAGGTTCCAGTAATACATAGCGTTGAATACTGCTGAAAAAGTAAAGCCCTGGTTGTAAGTGCTTATGATCATCCCTACTGACGGAAATACTCCATGTGAGCATCAGCATGACAGAGACCCACCTGCAGATAATGTCCTGGACATGCAAGAGTGTGAGGTAATTTGAGAGCTAATTTGTTTGTCTACAAAAGCAACAGTGGTAGGAATACTCGTTTTGGACAAGGCAGACATTCTGAAATCCATTTATAAATGAATTTTGATAGAAGATCTGATGTAAGATAAAACCTCTTCTTCTTCTGTTGTTCTACTGCTTATGCTATAAAGCATTGCAGAGAGGAGTTAGATGTAGTTTTCTGTCTTTTGTTAGTTGGTTAGTTTGTGTTAATGTCATACTGCATTTCTGTAGTGTCTGTTTTACTCCATCCACCCATATCATTCGTGCTCGGTCTCTTCCCTTGTAGTCTGTTGTTCTCATGTAGTATGCTCTAGCCGCTGGTTTTTTGTTCCATTTTGACCATATGACTTAATGTTAGATGAAACAAAATGCATACGGATGCATTATTAGGAATTACTTAGGGAACTGCAAGAATGGATACATGAGATGAACAGTGTGCTCCTGAAAAGGTTAGCACTTAAAGCCTGTGCTGTGGGAGATGGATAATTTTTCTTTTTTATGCACAGGATGCTGTGATGTCAGTTATTAAATCAGTCATCCATGTCACATATACGTGTGTTCTACTTAAGATCCCTTTTAATTTTCTTCAGACCCTGTGTGAGTTCTAGGGCCCCATTATGGGGAGGGAAAGAATAGACCTACTGCCCCTTTTACATGCATGTCATACAAATTGACTTATTAGGGGCACTTCCTTCAATGTCTTATGACGAGGAACCGTCTGCATACGTATAAGCTAGATCTGTAAAACAGATGTGTATGCAAAACTCAGGTTCTGGGAAAAGGCGGTTCCAGAAATGGATGAACAACCAAAACTTTCTTACAGAGTTTACTGGTGAATGCTAAAAAGAAGAAGATAATTTTCTTCAGAGAAGTTTCTTAATTGACAAGTCAAATTGTTTTTTTTTACAGGATGCCTTGAAAAAAATGCGCCTGATTGATGACAGAATTGTGCATGCACTGAACTCAAAGATTCCAACACAGTCTTTCCGTGATAAAGTCGATGTGTCTGCTGAGTGTAGAAGACTGTATGATGAGGTTTGGTTCTTTTGTAGAAAAATCTGTTCATTGTTATTGCTGTCACCTGTTGGCCGAATGGTGAATGGATGTAAGGATGAATTACTGTAGACTGGCTGAATGAATTTATGAATGAATTTGTGAATCAGTAACAAATTTGAATGAATGAACAAGAATTTTAATGAATGTGTGGATAATTGAATTTATAAATTCTTCTTCTTTCATTCGCTTTAAATTTTCTATATCTGAATTGCGGTCTCTATTATGAACTTCACTGTCTTTTGTAATTTACTAAGTGGCCCGTAAAGTTTGGCTTCCACCATTGTCTTTCTTGGCCAGAAGTTTTGCCTAGAAATGTGGTATTTGGGACAGTCTTGGAGGAAATGATCTGTTGTCTCATGTGCACACGGCTGATTCACCAATCTCAAATTTTCTATACATGTGGCCTCGAAGTCAATTGTGCCCTGTTTTAAAGCATAGAATAATGACTTGCTCTGGTCTGTCCATAATATGGTAATCGTCTTGTGCCAGTTTTGGTGGCTTTCTGAGTGATTTGATTATTCTCTTCTTCTGTTAAGAGACTGGTATGTAAGATTGTTTTTCAGTTGCACTTTCCTTAGCTAGTTTATCAGCTCTTTCATTTCTGGGAACTCCACAATGGGACGGTAGCCATTGCATAGCTACTGTACACCAGATGCCTATTTAAATTTATAAATAAATTCGAATGAAGGCTTGATGAATGAATAAAAGTGTACATGTATGTTTTAATGTTCTTTAGAGCAGTGTTCTTCAACTGGTGGGCCGTAGAAAAGCCCAAATGGACTGCCAAAATTGTTTGCTTTATCATGTAATTGGGTAGGGTGGGCAGTTTTTCTCTTGCTGGATTACAGTCTGTCAGATTACCAAATCAAGGATGAAAATAGAACAGGTACAAATGCCAGAAAACCTGCTCAGCTGCATTATTTTCCAACTTCACAGCAGCAGCAGTGCCACATTAGCTGAAAATGGTAATTTTGTGGCTGAAAATGTAACCAGAAACTGCAGTATACTTTTGTTTCTGTGTTTGGTTGATTGTCAGGTGGGCCGGGAAAATATTTGCCTCTGTTATGGTGAGCTGGGGGTGTAAAAAGGTTGAGGAATACTGCTTTTAAGTATTCATTTCTTGATTTTAAGGAGTTTGAATAACACAGCTGTGGAACAAAGGCAGTTAAAGTAACAGTTGGATATGATACATTAAAGTAACAGAAGAATGGACATGAATAATATGAGAAATGTGCACCATGTTAAGAGCAACAGATGAGCTTATGGTGATTTTGTCAAGAGCTAAACATTTTTCATACTATGTCTTCCCATTCATATATGAATAAAAAAAAAATCAATAATTGACATCACTGCATTCAGATCATTACCCCTTATGCTACATCCCCTCCTGTAGTGGCAAACATGAATGTTCCAACCCCTCCTGTAGTGGCAAACATGAATGTTCCAACCCCTCCTGTAGTGGCAAACATGAATGTTCCAACCCCTCCTGTAGTGGCAAACATGAATGTTCCAACCCCTCCTGTAGTGGCAAACATGAATGTTCCAACCCCTCCTGTAGTGGCAAACTTGAATGTTCCAACCCCTCCTGTAGTGGCAAACATGAATGTTCCAACCCCTCCTGTAGTGGCAAACATGAATGTTCCAAACCCTCCTGTAGTGGCAAACATGAATGTTCCAACCCCTCCTGTAGTGGCAAACGTGAATTTTCACTCCCCTTCAGTCATGGTAAACATGAATTTTCCCTCCCCTCCTGTAGTGGCAAACATAAATTTTCCCTCCCCTCCTGTAGTGGCAAAAATGAATTTTCCCTCCCCTCCTGTAGAGGCAAACATGAATTTTTCCCTCCCCTCCTGTAGTGGCAAACATGAATTTTCCCTTCCCTCCTGTAGAGGCAAACATGAATTTCCCCTCCCCTCCTGTAGTGGCAAACATGAATCCCCCCCCCCCCCCCCACCTCCTGTAGTGGCAAACATGAATTTTCCCTCCCCTCCTGTAGTGGCAAAAATGAAGTTTCAATTTTTTTTGTTTTGTTGTTGTTGCCAATATGGTAAACTTGATTCACAAACACCCTATAAAAAAATCAACAGGTAGAATTATCGTAAACTCTTTATTAAATCCAAAGACAGGATTAATATGAACTCTTGATTAAATCCCTAAATTTAATTATTTTGAACCTTTATTGAATCCTCCAATATGTTTGTTATAAACTCTTTATAAAATTCTCATATGGGATTATTGTAAATTTTTTGCATTAGATTTTTAAAAATGAATTCACCAAATGAGATTATAAGTTCTTTATTAAATTCTAAAATGTTATTCTCTTGATTTCTTTATTAAATCTGCAGAAAAGATTACTATAAACTCTATACCAGATGCCCACATGAGATTATTATTATCTTCTTCTTTTTGTTCACCAGGAATATCCTGGCTGTTCATCCACTTTTGGATTTCAGTCTTGTTGAAATACTTGAGTTTTGTGTGCACGACTATTTTACAGATCTGGCTTTTTTGTATGCAGACTTTGTTCCTGATTTTAGGCATGTTCTTCGCCTCTCCCTCAAAATAGGCCCCAGAACCCACACATGGAGATGAGATTATTATAAACTATTGATCAGATCCTCAAATAGGTTTATTATAAATCTTTATGGAATCTCCAAATGGGATTATTATAAACTCTTTGTGAAATCCTCAAATAAGATTATTATGAAGTCTTTGTGAAATCTCCAGATGGAATTATTAAAAACTCTTTATTAAATCTCCAGATGGCATTATTATAAAGTCATTATTAAATCCCCATATGGTATTATTATAAGCTCTTCATTAAATCCCCAGATGGTATTATTCTCTGTGTGTGTTCCGAGGCCCTGTTTTAGGGAAAACAAGAATAGACCACTGCCTACCTTAGAGCATGTTGTAAGAATCAATTATTTGGGAGCTTCTTTTGATGTAGGAGTGCCAGAGAGGCAGGGAACTAAGAGTGTGTGTACAAAAGAGATACAAAATCTGTAAAATGGATGCGCACGCGACACTCAGGTTCTGGAACAGAACTACAGTCCAGGTGAGGACGAACAACCAGAGCTTATCAGAAATGCTTTTTCTAATGCCCACATGGGATTATTATACACGCTTGATTAAATCCCCAGATGGTATTATTGTAAACTTTTGATTCAATCCCCAGATGGTATTATTGTAAACTTTTGATTCAATCCCCAGATGATATTTTTGTAAACTTTTGATTAAATCCCCAGATGGTATTATCATAACTCTTTACGCAATCCACAGATACAGCTATCATATGACCAGCGGGAAAAATCCATCCGCCACTGCATAGAAGTGGTTAACGATGATGTAAAAAACCTCAGACAGAAAAAGATGGATGCACCAGATGATATTGACATCCTCCGGTCCTTAAGGAAAGAACAGACAAAGGTAATTTTGATGCACTTCAACATTTACCTTTGCAGTTTGTCTTTGTATAGTCAGTTCACCTATGGCTGTCTTTAGGTATTTCCTGTTTATGTAACTAATTTTTGCTTGCTGTTGTTCAACATTTATGAATTCTATACTAATATTACATTTAGTTACTCATTCCAGTAACCAAACTATGTTGTCATCATTATGTGCCAGGTTGATTATTTAAGTTTATTCTTCATCCCCTTTAACCCTGTTGCTCCGAGAAAGCCGTTTTTGTTTGTTTACACGTTTTTAATGACATGCCTTTGGGCCGTGGCCTGTAAGCTTATATAATAGTTTTGGTGCTGGTTGCAACTGCATAGTGTGAATATGTGGTGAGCATTATTATATTTGACAAATAAATTCTTGAGATATTATTTGGGGTGGGAACAAATATGATGTCACTTTGCTGTCTGTAGAACATTTCACATATCTTGGCAGTGTGGTGTCCCTGCCGGGAGGGACCGAAGAGGACATACAGTCACGTCTGAACAAAGCTAGTACTGCTTTTGGAAGGATGAGGCAAATCTGGAAATCCGACAATTACTGCAGAGGTACAAAACTCCAAATCTGCAAGAGCATCATTTTGCCAATTCTTCTTTATGGAGCGTAATGCTGGAGAATGACCAAAAAGGATGCACACAAGCTGTCCACCTTCCACCACGCATGTCTACGTAGAATTATCAAAATTTTCTGGCCAGATACAATCTCAAACACTAAACTACTTCAAGTCACAAACCAAGAAACTTTAGACAGTATGAAAACCAAGAGAAGATGGAAATGGCTTGGCCACGTTATGAGAATGAATCCTGATATACCCGCCAAAACAGCTCTCACATGGACACCAAAGGGAAAGAGAAAACAGGAGCGCCCAAAAAACAACATGGAGACGAACCATGGAAAGTGACTTGAGTGCGGCATCTTTGACATGGAAAACTGCACTGAAGATTGCACAATACAGGATAGCATGGAAAGTCCTCTCTGAAGCCTCATGTGCCACTAGGCATAACGAGAACTGATGATTGCTGTCTGTGGCTATGTTAACTAAATCCCTAAGAGTCAACGCAACACAGAACAAAGAGTTAGATAACTCATTATAGAACAAAGAGACAACATTTAGAACAAAGAGACAACATTTAGAACAAAGAGTTAATGCAGTATAGAACAAAGTGTTAAATAGCACATTGTAGAACAAAGAGACAACATAAAGAACAAAGAGTTAACACAGTATATAACAAAGAGTTACATAACCCCTTTTTTGAACAAAGAGATAAAACACAAAACAAAGAGTTAGATAACTCATAGAATAAAGAGTTAGAGAGTACATTGTGAACAACAAGTTAGAGAACACAGTTGGATAATGCATTATAGAACAAAGAATTAGATAATGCATTATTATAGAACACAGATTTAAATAAAAGCTTATAGAACGAGATGGATACTTCAGACTTAGACTTACATAATAGATCAAAGACTGAAGACAATTTAGAAGATGCTGACTCACAAGATAAGACCAGAGTTCCTTCATATCAAGCGGTAAATTTGCTCTGAACAGTTAATTAGTGGTTGACTGTACCCTCTTTCTTATCTTATAGACATTCATTTGATTTTCTTTCAGTTGAGGCTAATGCAGCAAGAGATGAGTATAGAAGAAGTAGTGAAAGACAGAACACTTAAGGTAAGTGCTGTGTTTGTCTGTGTCTCTTAGTGGTTTTGTTGAACAGCATTCTTTTATTTCCTATGTAAATTATAAAATTATCATGTTATCCTTGTTGTTATCATTTGGATGGGTAGATGATTATCTTTTTGGTGGCATTATTGTTTTGCTTGGAATTTTCTTTGGTGTGAATTTTTTTCAGTTAAAAAGTATTCTCATTTTGGGTGGTATTCTCATTTGGGCGTTATTATCATTTGGAGAGTACTCTCATCTGGGTGGAATTATTACTGGGGTTAAGTTTTCTTGGGTTGGCATTATCATTTGCCATTATTGTTTGGGTGTCATTATCCTTTGAGTATCTGTATCATTTGATTGGTATCAATTTGGTGGCATTTCTGTTTGGGTGGCATCATCATTTGCATGGCATTATCATTTGCTTGGCATTCTCCTTTGGGTGACATTTTCGTTTGAGTGGCATCATTTAGATGGAACTGTTGTGTGTGTCATTCTCATTTGGATGACATAGTTGTCCTTTTGCAAAATGTTGTTCTCAACATGGCACACACCAGAAAGCCACTTAGCCTCAAGCCAACTTTTCCACTTCCTAAACTTTCACCCTCAGTGTGTCCTTGATACATGCTGGGTGTCCAGCAATGAAACCCTCCAATTTTCTTCTCTCTAAACCATTTTGATTTCTAAGAAATGACACTGTCTATGAGCCAGTTTCTTCTATGTTTAGATCCTGTAGAATGTCAGTATTTTGTTGTTGTTTTTTGCTATCTTGTTTACATCTTGACTGTTGTCTTGTATATACATTAAATCACCCATAATTTGCTGTGTCTCTTCTTGTTTAAACTGATTGATGGAAATGGAGATGATTTGCCAACTCAACAAACTCTCAGAGACCAGCTAGGGTGTGTTACAGAGGTATCCCAGCCCATTGTGGCTTAGTGGTAAATTAGATCGTGGATAAACTGGCCAAAGAGGAAACAGGACCTCCATCCCATATCACAGTAAGAGGTATAGACACAGATCAAAGAAAAAAGTACAGCAACTCATACAGGTGGGTAACAAAAGCAGACCTACAGATGACCCAGTCAGCAGATTAAACAGAAGGCAGTTTGCCACAATGTTTCACTTAAGAACAAGACACTTCAGATTGAATGCACACATGCACAGAATGAAGGCTGTACATCCACCCAGTGTCTCTGCCAAACTGCACTTCAAACACCTAAGCAGATACTGCAGAACTGCATGCTACAGCAAAATCTGTGAGAAAACACAAAGCAAGAGGGAGGAAGCAAAGAATAAGAAATTGAATCACCTGTGAGCTTGTAATATCACTTCTTGTTTCTATTGAATGACCCTTGAAATGATTGTCTCCTCTCCAGGTTTTCTATGAACGATGTCGAGACAGCTATACTCCACCAGCTGCACCCATAGTTTTGTAGTCTCAGCAAACTTTCTAGTTAAACAAAACAAATAAATGTTCAGGTATTGATTGACACTGGGCCAGTAGGGAAGAAAGTGACAGCAGAGGTCACTAGAAAAATGGTTAACCTCTAAATTGCTACTAATTCATGAAAAAATATAAATAATTTTCAAGATAAAGCTTGGAAAATATTCTTTAGTAAATTAACTATGCAACGCGTAGAGCAAAAGAAGATAAAGATCTAAAAGAATGCATAGTAGAGAATTATAAGTGGAGATGATCAGTATAGGAAACACGTGAATAGAACTGCAAAAAAATAAAAGTTAGTTAAGAGCCTATTCTGTAATGGATGATATTCTCCTTTACCTTCAGCAGCTGTAAAGTCCGGTGGAAAGTCCTAGTTGTGTGTCCACTCCTGGACTTTGGTTTTGTCCAGGGCTTGTGTGTTTCAAGGGCATCTGTTTTACAGATGTGGCTTATTTGTTTGCAAACTAAGTTCCTCTCAGGTAGATGCACTCTGACTTTGAAGAAAACTTTGATCCTGTCTACATTGGCCAGGCATATATTTAAGAACCTATTTCTGAGATGACCGTTAAAAGTTATGGAGAGGTCTTGACCACTTTGTGCCCCTGGTCCTGCTGCATCACCTTGTGTAGTTCAGCAGCTCTGCATCTACAATGGGGTATAAAGAAGAAGAAATTAATAGTCAGTTCAATAGAGATTATGATTCTAGAGGGAAATTATAGTGGTTACCAGAAATATGTATTTATCTTTTTTTTTTCTTGAACAGTCTTAAGGTTTTCCATTGGCCCAGTGTTTGTAATTTTAAGAGCATATTTGTCTAGGATGTAATGGAACCAGGTTGAGAAATAATACACAGATCAAGCTTGAAGTGGATGAACCTTTTGAATGGATGTTTAGACTTGAAGAAGATGCATTGAATTTTGGCCACATCAAATGTTTAACCAAATATAACCAGCTAATTTTTAAGGTAATAATTTTGTATGGCCCACAAATGGTGCTATAAATATCCAAAATAGCTTTGGTTTAAAAAAAAAGGATTCACGCTATTTTGAAGATTTTACTGTTGACAAATTAATTTTACAGGTTCATGAAGAACAAGAAGGAAGAAAAGATAAAGGCTAGCCACCTTTACAAGGCATTTGTCATGAAGTTGATGGTTTTTTTGGGTAGTACTTCCAGATGCATGCTGGGGGACTTTTACATGTGGTTGAAAGTGGTCAGATACATTGTTGATAAAAGAAGATGTTTACTTTGTGGCTCTCTTATTTATACTTACTGTTGGGAAATCAAATGAGATGTCAGGATGTCATATTAGATGTCAGGATGTCATATGAGATGTCAATATGTAATTTGAGATTTCACGTGTGGTGTCAAGATGTCATTTTTGATGTTGATACGTCAGGTGTGATGTTAACATGTCAGGTGTGATGTAATATATAATGTCAAGATGTCCGGTGTAATGTCAAGATATCAGGTTGAGTATTGTTTGAGATGTCTGGATGTCGTTTGTGAATCTGGATATAATGTCAGGTGTAATGTTCAGATATGTGGATTTTCAAATGTCATGTGAGATGTTGAGATGTCACGCAGGGCTATTCAGTCTAAAGATTTTTATAAGTTTTTTGTCCTGTCACTCGACCATATCTCTAGCGAGTCTGTTGTGGTATTTCCCCCCCCCCCCCCCTTGTCTTCCAGTGTTGGGAAAGCATAATAAACTATTCTTTTAATAATAGATAAAGTGAGTCATCTTGTTCTCATGTTAAAATTGAGAAGCGAAGAAGGGAATCTTTTTTTCTGAATTTGAAAAACAAAAATCATGTCCTAAGTAAATACAGCACACGAGCCACATATCACTATCGAAAATGAAGAAATAGAAAATATCACAGATTTAGAATACTTGGGCTCTTTAGTGAAGACTGCAGAAAGACGTCACAAGAAGACTTGCTTTAGCAGTGCAGGGAAATAAACAGTATGAAGAACCTATGGCAAAGCACCTGTAAAGTAGTTAAAGTATAAACCTTGAGATCATGCATTTTTCCTGCGGAAACCTACGGTTGTGAGTCCTGGACTCTCACTCAATCACCGAAGAAAAAGATTGTAGCTTTTGAATTTCAATGTTACAGAAAAATTCTCAGAATGCCATGGATCAAGAAGAAGAAAATGATCTACATTCTGCACAAGTTAAACATCAAGGAGAACTGGCTCATAAACAGCATCCTGTTCCAAAAGTTACAGACCATATTAAACGTCATGATGGCTTGGAAAAGACTGTGATGGAGGGTGCGATTTGTGGAAAGAGAGGCAGGTGGCAACCTCCGTGATGATGGATACCGGACGTTGAAGATGCATTGGCATTGAAAGCACATGGGGCTGGAGAGCTGGCTAGGGAAAGGGATACCTTCAGGCGTGCCGTGTGGAGAGCGACGTTCTGTAAAGGACTTGCTGATTGATGTTGAGCTTGATTAGCTGTACTTACATTGAGCATTTTTAGTCACTGTTTGGATCTGTTCATAGATTTTAAATAGCTTGGCTTCTTAATCAAAGCCCAGGTGAGTTTTGACTCTCATTGGTGTTTAAGCTGTTGGCAATACTACATCATCAGGCATGCTGTTACTGCCTGTTTTTACCATTTTTGTGATGCTGACAGGGGCACTTTAAGCCTGAAGTTTTCAGGCCTCATAGCTAGTGCAGTCACCACAGACTGTGCAAAAGAAAACACACACATACAGTACCAAGGATTTGAACCTGGGTCTCACATTTACTAAACCCGGACAAAGGGCTTGTATCTGTCAGCATGTAGAAATATTAAATGTATCACAGAGAAATGAAAAAAGAAGACTCACAAAAAACTGTTGAACATTTTGACCAGAGTCTTTATCAACAAACAGAACAAAAGAAAGTTGAAACCACCAAGATCAACATAGAACTGGACAAGTCATGATGCTAGACCTATATTTTTTTTAGACCAATCAGCACTCAGTGGGTGATGTGGTCAACATCATGCCACCTGCCTTTACTTCCCAGGACTTTACCTGGAAATCATGTTACAGTCGAGTCCACTTAAGTCGAACACGGATAAGTCAAATTTCGGTTAAGTCGACATGACCAGCTTAGTCCCGGCAATTTTCTCTACTGTCTGTGCTGTCTGGATAAGTAAAAATCCTGATAAGTGGAAGCATTTTCTTAGGTCCCTGCGACTTCTACTTATCCAGACTCCACTGTAGACTGGGTGGACCTGGGAACCAAGAAGGGTGTGTTTTATTATAACTTGGTATTAGATAGATTGCAATCGCTTCTATTTATGATACCAATTTATCTCTCAGAATAGATAGGTGTACATATTAATGTTTTAACCAAAGTACTATCTCCATGTGGCCTGGGTTGCAGTGCTGTATCCTCTTTCCAGACTCAGAAACAAGTCATTTGAAGTTGAGCACCAATAAACTTTTTTTTCTTTTTCTTGGGTCAGCAAGGTAAATAAAAGCCTATTGTCACATGTGACTAAGCATAGGGTTGGCCTACCTTATCCTAAAAAAAAAAAAAGCTCAAAAGCTCAACAAGCATAAAACGGCTAATAAGACCTGCTCTCTGTTGATTGATCAAACCTCTTGTCCCTTTGGTGAAATGTTCATTTCTTGCAGCTCTAAGTTTCACTCCAATATTGCACCATCAATCTATCAGCCTGGACAGGGTAGCAGAGTCATGGGATTTGCTGTATTTGTGTTTGCGTGTAAGTTTACATGGCATTGATAATATCACTTCTGCACAGTACTGGACCAGCCATAGCAGTCCCAGTGTATGCCAGATAATCTGCATGCTTATTGTCTCAAGCACCTGCATAATCCAGCACAAGATAAAACTGAAGCCAGCCATTTGCAAAGTGGGACTCTGAGGAAGACCTTAGGTGTGTAATCCTGATTGTGACCCATGCTGGATTAAATGATTTAACAAATGTTGACTGTGAAGAAGAAATAATTGGCTTGATCTGGCCATGAGTGGTTTATGGATGGAGACAGAAGAGGTTTACAATGCACTGGTGTTTTGGCCTATGGGTCAGTCTCTATCCTCAAGGAGCTCTGTCAAGAGCACTATGAAGACTGATGTTCATTTCTGTAAGGCTGTTATTAATGCCATCACTCCATATTTTCCGAGGTCTTCCACTCGCTCTATACCCGTTGTAACGTTTTAGTGTGGCTTGCTGTGGCAGATAGGATAGTACATGGGCATTCTTGTAAGGTTTACTTTACCATGAAGTACAAAAGCAACCTAAACAAAATGTTGGAGCTCGACGGAAATGGCTTACCCGCTTCCTCATCCCCCCACCCTGCCCCCTTCTTCCTTTCCCATGAGAAGTTTAACTCTTTTGTCTCCATAAGATCTAGGACAGAAATGACAAGTTAGAATTTAACCCCCCCCCCCCTCCCTTTCCCACACACACACACAAACAAACGCAACCTTAAAATCAAAAAAAAAAAGAAAAGTAGAATGAGAAGCAAAAAGATTTTGGAGTCTTTGTCAGTTTTATAAATAATCAGGGGGTTGAACCGTAGACCACCGAGAAAACATGCAGATGTGAAGTCCTCTGCTTCTTTGATGAGGTCACTTCACTAAAAGTAAAACTGCTCCCATTCACTAAATAACTTAATCAGGACAGGTTTAAAATCTGCATAGAGGGATATAATAATCAATAAATGCACACACAGTGAAGATGGCCTGCTTGCCTTCCCTTTAACCATTTAAATGTTGTTTAGGTCGCTTTGCCTCATACAAACACGTGACGTAATAATGACATTATATGACATAATGTTCAATACCCAGTTTGTAACATCAGCGACCGGGTCGCCCATTGGCTCACCGGTAGACGACTTCTTCGCTAGTCGGGACAGTATTTAGTTCTGTCCCCTCTGATCGACACTACAGAAGTCCCTTTCAGAGCTTTTGGCGGCGTGAAATGTTAAGCCATTTTATATGATGCACATAACCTAGTCACAATTA